CAAAAGCCAGACATTATACTATTATAGTTAGCAACGATTAGATTAAAAAAACCCAATTAAATTAGAATACTTGTAAAATTCCTCTAACATGGCCCATTTCTACAGATTTTTTAAAATGTTTAAATGCCATTGCTTCATCTTCTTTGACTCCAATTCCATATTGATAACAATATCCAGCCTTATATATTCCCTCAACATATCCCATATTTGCTGATATTATGTAATAATGAAATGCCTTAGATTCATCCTTCATAGCTCCAATTCCATATTAATAACAATATCCAATGTTATATGCTTTCTCTGAAAACTTCATCTGTCCTGCTTCCTGTCCATTCTTTTCAATTCCAATCCCTTTTTCGTAATAAAAACCAACATCAAACATAACGTCACTCATCACCTCTAATTTTTTATAATAAATAAATGCTTTATTTTCATCCTTTTCAATTCCAACTCCATTTTGATAACAATATCCAACCTTGTATGTTCCCATACCATGACCCATATCTGCAGATTTTTGATAATAGCTGAAAGCTTTATTTTCATCCTCCTTAATACCAATTCCATATTGATAACAATATCCAACCATGTATGTTCCCATGGCATTACCCATATCCGCAGATTTCTGATAATAGATAAATGCCATATATGTATTCTTCTTAACTCCAATTCCATTTTGATAACAATATCCAAACATGTATGTTCCCATGGCATGACCCAAATCCGCAGATTTTTGATAATATTCGAATGCTTTATATTTATTCTCTACAACTCCTATTCCTTCATTAAAACAATTACCAACACTATATGTTCCATTAGCGCTTCCTATATCTGCAGATTTTTGATAATATTCGAATGCTTTATTTTCATTCTTCTCAACTCCAATTCCATTTTGATAGCAATACCCAACTTTGTATGTTCCCATGGCATTACCCATGTCAGCAGATTGTCGATAATAGATAAATGCCATATATCCATTCTTCTTAACTTCAATGCCATCTTGATAACAACGTCCAAGGTTATATATTCCATCAGAATCACCTTTCTCTACTGATTTTTGATAATCAGTAAATTTCATGTAATTATCTAACACCATAACAATAATAAAAAAAATGTTAAAGTTAAAATTATATATAAAGAATTGTTTTGTGAATATAATTATTCTACTTAGTTTATTTACCTAATTTTGTTAATAGAGCGATTGCTCTTTCATTCTTATTACTGGCGGCTACTTTTAAATAATTTAGTCCACGTTCTTCGTCCTTTTTTACTTTGAGTTTTCCACCCACATAAATATTTCCCAAATAATACATTGCATCGATACTTGGGTTTTTTGAATTATCAGCTGCCCTTTCCAAATAATATAGGATTTCCTTGCGTAATTGTTCTTTTTCAGTTTCATTAGTTACTTTTTTAATATCACCAAGCAACGAAACAGCATATCGACACTGTGCTTCAGAATGATTGTGTTCATCAGCAGCTTCTTTAAAAAGCTGCCTGGCCCTAATTGGATCTTTTTCACCATGATGCCCGTAATTTAAATAATATCCTAGCCAGAATTTTGCCAATGGGTTATTAAGCTCAGCATTTTGATTGAAGCATTTCCATGCACCATCATATTCCTTGTTTTTATGCATCTTTACACCATCTTCAAGAGGTATAATAGGAACTTCTTCTTCAGGAATTTTATCATCCTCAATTTCAGGATCATCTTCAAATTTTGGAATAGCTTCTTCAACCTTCTCTTCATCAAAATCTAATGGTTTATCTTTAAGAAGTTGTGCGGCATCAAAAGGAACTGGAAATTCCGTGGCTAAGTCTTCAATTTTATGCCTTAGTGCAGGAATGGTTATTCGTAATTCTGGTTGATGACACCATGCTTTTTTTATTAATCAAATAAACAAAAAACAAATTAAAAATAGTATAAAAAATAAACAAATAAAAATTCTTAATTGCCGATTCGGATATGATCGGCACTAATCACGTGTAAATTATTATAGAAATTGGGGATAATTGTTA